TTCCTCCAGCTCCACACTTTGTTATCTCTGACTCCAGCATCTGCAGTTCTTACTATCTCTTCATATTTTATGTAGTTTTTTTAAAATAATGAATTGCCAGTACATGTAGACGAAAAGTGCAGCAATTTTAGGCATATTAATGTTTGACAAATAGCAGATGAATAACTAATTGACCTCCTATTCCTAATGCTGGTCAAGAGAATAATTATAGAAAAACTCGCTTTCCTTCAAGTCGTGGTGTGAGATTTTAATACCCTTTTGAATCACAGAATTGACAGATGGCACCATGGTTTAACTTTTCATTTGCAGGCTGGCACCTCCGACAATGCAGTACTCCTGCAATACGATAATACATTGTCAGCGATGCTACAAGTATCAGTGTTGTAGTATTTTTTGGCTTCCATGATTCTTAGTTGGTTAGTTCTTAGTATATATCTAGTTCTCTGCATCTCGAAGATCAAGGTAAATTTAAAGTATGCCCTGTGCATCAATAAAGAATGTGTTTTAGTTCATTGCAGGTGGTCATTTTTTACAATTTTTCACTTCATCATTCACATCTCAAAGGAGGAGCATAACAATGCACTTTTTTTGTCTTCTATACCTTAATTACCAACATATTTATTGAATAAGTGAAAGAATGGCAGCAGTAATACAACATATGCTTTTCCATTAGTTCTTAAGTTTAGATATTGCTTGTATTGTAGAAAATAAACAATTTGCAACTAGTAACGCTATGTGATAATACTTGTCCTTTCCTTAATTTATAAACAGATCGAACACTACCCTCGTGTAGACTTTAGCTACTTAACAAAATATATGCAAAATTTAGACTAGGCAAATTTCACCACTTCTCTACACGGACTGCAGTGATTTACTCAAGCTGCTATCGCTAACTTCTCAAAGAATTGGAATGTGCAATGTTTGCTGTCCTTGCAAGTGGCACTAGATGTATTAAAAAGTCAAATAACAGTCAGTTAACTTATAAAGAAACTATCACTTGACTGATGAGCTTTATTTTAGTTGCCCAACAGTAACTTCTCAATCTAAATCTGAGTTTAAGGCAAATGACTTTCCCATGTTATAGAAGATGAATTGACCAGTCAGAACAAGTGGATACAGTTGAGTAGAAATCCACTGAAATAAACAACATACCAGAAACTTGACAATTTAAAAAATAAAACAACACATTAATACATGACAAGCAGTAATAAAATATTTATTGATTTCAAAGCTTTAAGTTAGCATTGTTTATAATTACAGTGGGGATTCAAAATATACCATGAATGTTATGCTGGTACTAAATGTTTGGATACACTTGTTCCTATATTTAATGGGTATGAAATGCATACTGAAGATTTTACGGTTTTTAATTTCTGGAATGGCAGTAATTGTTCAATAGTGGATTGTTAATCTATTATATACTTTTGCAGATTTTCCTCTTTGTTGAAATAAATAGAATTTGAAATGCAGGGATAGGTATACAATGCACTGCCAATTCTTGACCATTGCCCCATCACCGAAAATCAAAATGATAATATCAGCGCTCAGACCTTTTGTTCTTACCAAAGACAGCAATAATCTATTCCTTTGCAAACGCAATGAACATTTTATTTATTACATGTACTAGAGACGTTACAGAGACACTAACATTTACATCCACTTTTTCTATCAATTACACATTAGTCATCAATAATTTTATGGGAAGTTATTAGTTGAATGCTAAGTTTGACTTAAGTGATTCAAGTTTAGAATTGATACAATTCTATAACATAAACGTGTATACAAATAAGAGTTTTAAAGACAATAAAAATGGAATACTTTGCACACATAAGAAAGATGTTGGCGTTTTCATGTGCTATTCCCTCACAAATTCTGGATCAGACTAAATTGGCAACAGGGTGGCCACAAAACTAAAATGCTGTTTCCATAGGTTTCTTGTTTAGACTTGAAAGGGGAACAAATTTCATCACCTCCTGAAATACATGTCCTGGAAATAATAATATTATATTAAATGTCTTTCTAATATAATCTATAAGTTTAATTGATATACAGATTATATATATAATTTTGCACTGTTTCTATATGATCAGAATCTTGATAGAGCAAAATGAATTTGAATATTTTTAAATACGATCAACATTGTCCTATAATAATTTGGGCGGCACAGTGGCTCAGTGGTTAGCACTGCTGCCTCATAGTGCCAGGGCCATGGGTTTGATTCCACCCTTGGGCGACTGTCTGTACGGAGATTGCACATTCTCCCCGTGTCTGCGTGGGTTTCCGCCAGGTGCTCTGGTTTCCTCCCCCAGTCCAAAGATGTGCAAATTAGGTGGATTGGCCATGCTAAATTGCCCATTGTGCAGGCTAGGTGGGTTAGCCATGGGACTGCAGGTTTGTAGGGTTAGAGGGATGGGAGTGGCTGACATGCTGTTCAGAGGGTCGGTGAGCCGAATGGCCTGCTTTCACATTGTAGGGGTTCTATGAACTTTTCTCTTTTCAAACATTCCATGACCTGATTGGTATTAGTCACTGCATCAAGAAATATTATTTATCATTCAATAATTACTCACTCTTCCACAGATCAACTGATAACTTCAGCTGGTCCAAAGAGTCATCAAAAGGCTCAGGTTTAGTCTTGTCTTCTAGATCATGAAATGGTTCAAAGTAGGGATGACTCAGAGCATCAGCAGCTGAAAAACGCTTGTCTGCATCCAACACTAACATCTTCTCCAGGAGGTCCAAAGCTGAGATGTCAGTGACATTTAAAAAGGAAAACTGTTCTTCACCCAAAATTCACATTCAGAAATACATTTATGCATTCACATCTTTATCAAAATCTCTATTAATCTATATTCATTTATAGAAGGAAACCAACTCCAGTTAAGTAAAGTGCCCCAATGTTCCAAAACATTAAGTACACAAATGTTATTTCATGAATGACAATGGGTTTGATTCAGTTGAATAAAATGATATTTTATTTTCAAGGGCAACAAAGAGTGGTTCCATTCTTCATGTGATTTTCCACATCTACTAAATCAGCTACCACTAGAAATGGCAAGATAAAGATTTAAAAATCAACCATTCTAAAAGTCACCTGCTGAAAACATCAAATCTACACATAAATTAATAAATTAACATTAACAGATAAATTGGCACAAAAATTAGATTAGAAGTTCAGTTGAAATTAAAATTAGTTGGTGGGGTAGAGCCAAAGCTTATTAGCCTGAAAATGCCTAAGGCCTCACCCAACCGGGGTGTAAGTGCAACAGATCAAAATTTTGGTGATGAAGTTATTTGTCTCGTGAGTAATGCAGGTGGTGACTGTGATGATGCATCAACTGTAATGGCCCTGGACAAAGACGACTTGCTCATCTAATGGAGTGCAAGGTCCTGCGGTGTGAAGGGCTAATATGAATATGTAAATAAGATAATATACATTGTCATTTGAAAGAGATGTAATAGCACATACCTACGAGGAGATTATCTCTCCCATGAGGCTGCTAAAGCATCAATGTCTTGGCCTGTATATAATGTTTACTATATTTAAATAAAAAGATAATATTTGACATGACATCAAAAGGCCCTCACAATATTTATCAACCACTTTCCTGAACCCAACCACAATATCATGTACAAAATAATTCTGTTTATCAATCCTGTGGAGTTATTCAAAGTTAGAGAAGGAACTGATCACTGCAGGAAAGTTAATCAAATAAAGAAGTCAGACCTGATCTGAACAGAACACGCCTTCTCTGGAAAATTTGAAATTTTGTTTGGATAAATTATGGTTGAATTTAATAAGGCAAAAAAATCTTTTTCACGAGAGTTGTCCTGTTTCACTGATACTTTTGTGGGTGAGAGGGAATGTATAATATCGAATACCCTGTTGACAAATACTATCCTATATCACAGGGAAATTTCATCTTTAGATAAGGTGTGAAATTACTGTTTAATCCAGGATACTAGTCAAGGATAGAAAGATGAATTTGTGGATCTGCTATTTATTACTCGAAAGGGTTACATTTTAAGTTGAACAAAGTCCCTGACTTGTCAACAATTAATGTTGAGTATTGCCTGTTTGGTGTAACATCCATTTGTTTCTTCTCGTCAGTCTGATGATTCTATAGCTCAATGGGACAGTGGACGAATACTCAACTGGTATTCAAGAACAGAAAGGAAGCTGGTTTCTGAATTGTGTTGACAAGTCTCTTCTCGACAAAAGGAAAGATATCACAAATAGGAATGAATGATCTAACTCAGAGCTTTCAAAACATGAGTGTTGAACCTCAGTGTACATGAGGGGCAAGAAGGGTTACGAGATCTGAAGCAGCAATGTCAGCTATGGAATGAACAATTGGATTTGAAAGCCTTTCAAGGCACTTGGAATGTCTGCAATTTTTTTTTGCTGATGGGTGTGGTCTAACAAAACAACTTATGTAGCTCAGCTGCTAACAACAACCGAGCCTGCAAAATGGGAGGTACTTTGATTTGTTTTTGCATCTATACTCCTGTGGTTTGAACCTGACCCCTCTAATTTTCACTCTCGGGCTTTACCTAATGTGAAGCATTGCAATAATAAGTAAACGGTAGTTTAAATGACAATAGATTAACTTGAAGGAAACTATCAATTTAATTCAGTATTCATAGTATATTCCATCCTGTGCCTCAATCCAGGATCTGCACAACGTGTACTGAAGCTCAAAATGTGGCCAATCGGTTAGACACAACATGATTAATGATCGCAAGTACCCTGGCCTCATGAAAATTTTACTTTATCATGTTCAGGAGCAGATTCATCAGGAAATATGAAAGCCAAATCAACCCATGTGTAGGTTGACTGAAGATTAACAAAGAGAAATAGAACTAAAAGTTCTGACACAGCACTTTCAAACAGAGGCTCAAACTCTAATATTGCACACACATGTCAAATACTCTTCTGGCCTTGATGTAAAGGAGTGAGTATTTGAATTGGTATGTAATGAGTGAGTGTAATTCAGAGCTTCCATTTGAGCTGAAGTTTAAGTCTTCACTCTTAAATAAATAGTTTATTTTTCTCAAATTGAGTGCAAAACATAAATAAATAAATTTTCTCTGGTTTAAAAAATATTTTGACATAAAAAGAGATAAATACAAGTAACAGACTAAGTTGGTAAGGGTTGATAATTCTACAAAAACAATTCATCCACAGTTGTGGCAGTGGACTGTTTGGAATTTCAGGAATGTTCTGAGAAGCTGCCCAAGGTCATAGTATTTGCAAAGATAATGAAAACACAAAGGTCTGAATTAAATGAGGCAGATTCATGCCAAAGATGAACAACCAGCAGATTAATGAAAATCTTAGTATTTTTTGATAATCAAATGCACAAGTCCTTCAAAATATCCTCAAGAAAACTATAAATTCTCAGAGTATTCAGTGTTCCTAGCAGGATATTGGTTTGTGTAAATTGATGTGTCAGCAGTTGTCCCTGAATATCTTTTGTTCTTAACATCCAATAGTCAGCCATTTGAAAAATCAAGTGGGATAACATAGGATTTCGAGTAGGAGTAAACTGTTTGGCCCTTCGAGTCTGCTCCAACATTCAGATGTGGTTACGGTCTCAGCTCCATCTTCCTGATCTGCACCTTGTAACTCTTGACTCCCTTTTCTATCAAAAACCTAACTCAAAGTCGAAAAAAGTTAAAGACTCACCTTGCCTTCTATAGAAGAGAATTATGCACACGAACAACTCTAAGAGGAAAAAAAGTGCTCCTCATTTCTATCTTCCCACAAGAGGAGAAACACAAGACACATTGGGTAAAATTCATATAGGGTTCTGAAAGAGGTGAGGTATGGGAAATAAAAACTGAAAGAACTGTGGATGCTGTAAATCAAGAACAAAAACAAAGTTGCTGGAAAAGCTCAGCAGGTCTGGCAGCATCTGTGAAGGAAAATACAGAGTTAACGTTTCAGGTTCAGTGACCCTTCCGAAGAACTGATGGCGGCTGGGAAAACGTCAGTTTATATGCAGAAAATAGGGAGGCGGGTGGGGTATGGGAATATTTGTTGCAGAATTGCATGAATAGTACGGTGAGGCCTATCTTGACACAGGGAGCAACTCTGCATTTGGTGTGTGGTGTGGCGAGTTTCTCACTAGGCGTGGTAAGTTGTCACTTAAGAGGTATTAGAGCTTGTTTAACACCTCATTAATGGCACAATTCACTGTATTAACATTCACGTTCCTATCTTATCAAATGTGCCAAATAAGCCAGACGTGGAAGTCAAAGTGGAGCGGGTGCCTGATGACCTCAACAAGTGGCTTGCTCCAAAGGATTTCCACATTGTACACCACGGCACCAGCATCTCAGGCAATGCTTCATGGTCATTGGCTCCAAAAATCTGCATCCAAAATGTGCGAGCCTCTAAGAACCGTCATGGCACATATCCAATCCAATTACTTCAACGCTGCATCTCAAGATGTCGTGACATCTTAATATTGCAATGCTGCAAGCCACTGTGCACTCAGAGATACACCACCCGACTCATGAAGTAGACCAGGGTACATCTCTGGCCTATTTGATAGTTCTCTAAGTACTCACTCATTCTCAGCCTATCTGATGCTCACAGCAACACTTGCCTATTTGTATCTTGGGGCAGATATATGGCTCACAGTCCTGCTGTGTTTAGAACTGAAATAAAGCCAGGAAACCTATCATGGTTGTGAACAGTCCTCAATTGAATATCTGGAAAGGCAAGGACTGATTAGGGATAGGCACCATGGCTTTGTGCGTGGGAAATCATGTCTCACTAACTTAACTGAGTTTTTCAAAGAATTAACGAAGAGGATTGATGAGGGCAGAGTAGTCGACATGATCTGTATGGACTTCAGTAAGATGTTTGACAAGGTTCCTCATGGTAGACTGGTTAGCAAAGTTAGATCACATAGAATACAGGGAGAACTAGCCATTTGGAACAGAACTGGCTCGAAGGTAGAAGACAGAGGCTGGTGGTGGAGCATTGCTTATCAGACTGGAGGCCTGTGACCAGCGGTGTGTCACGAGGATCGTTGCTGGGTCCACTGCTTTTTGTCATTTATATACACGATTTGGAGGTGAACATAGGAGGTATGGTATGTGAGTTTGCAGAGGACACCAAAATTGGAGGTGTATTGGACAGCTAAGAAGGTTACCTCAGAGTTCAACAGGATCTTGATCAGATGGGCCAATGGGCCAAGAAGTGGCAGATGGAGTTTAATTTAGATAAATGTGAGGTGCTGCGTTTTGGAAAGTTAAATCAGAGCAGGACTTATACACTTAATTGTAAGGTCCTGGGGAGTGTTGCTGAACGAAGAGTCCTTGGAGTGCAGGTTCATAGTTCCTTGAAAGTGGAGTCACAGGTAGATAGGATAGTGAAGAAGGTGTTTGGTATGTTTGCCTTTAGGGGTTAGTGCATTAGGTATAGGAGTTGAGAGATTGTGTTATGGCTGTACAGGACACTGGTTAGGAATTCTTCATGCAATTCTGGTCTCCCTGCTATAGGAAGGATATTGTGAAACCTGAAAGGATTCAAAAAAGATTTACAAGGATGTTGCCAGAGTTGGAGGGTTTGAGCTATAGTGAGAGGCTGAAAAGGCTGGGGCTATTTTCCCTGGAGTATCAGAGGCTGATGGGTGGCCTTATAAAAGTTTATAAAATCTTGAGGGGCATGGATAGGGTAAGTAGATTGGGTATTTTGGGTGGGTGAGTCCCAAACTAGAAGGCATAGGCT